GATTAAAAGAAGACTGACCAGGTGCATGGATACGAACAGTTATGTAATCGAGGTCCAAGAAATGAAAAAGTTTACAATATTCTATGATATTTTTTAGGTGTTTTGGATTTTCATCCGGTCCACCGTCTACTAATAAAACCCACAATGGTTTAATTTTTTCTTCTATGCAGATAACTTCATCATAGTCTTCCGAATTCGTTATTGAAATCAAATCAGCCATATGTGTCAATGCAGTTGTACCTACAAAATATTCGGGTCGAATGTAAATTGTAAGGTGTCCTGAATAAAAACTATTATTCGTATCATTTGGATTTATTAAAAGATATACGGATAAAATCAGTTTCATTTTTCTGCCTAAAGAAAAATCATGATCAGATATAGAAACAGGTTCATTTATTGGTTCGATTGACTTGAATGTTCGTCCAACCGCTGGAATCCCCAAAGAAACCTTTGACTTATCATCTTGGGATATTATTATGGAATGATCGTGAAAGGTTGCAGCAAACATCCGGGCACTTTTCACAGAAGCGAGACAATAATGACTATCTGGATGATCCGATTTTTCATTTCGTGATACAGATTGAATTTGTACTAATGCAGGGTGGTGGTGCCATTTTGCTGCAAAAGTATTTGGATGTTTTGGCCAAAGGTAGGTCGACAGAGTTTGTCTACTAATATAAAGGTTATATTTTTCTTCAAGTTTATCTTTTAAATATTTGATAGTTCTAATCTTTATTATTATTTTTCTTCTTTTTTTATCTGCTTCGCCATATTCGATGCAATTATGAATATGTTCGAGGAGGTCCAGGTTTTGTGCAAGAATTGATAGTTTTCCAGCACCCTCCCATTGTTCAACAATACCTTCTTCTTCAAGTTGTTTTTGTTTTTTAGCCATCATCCGGGCTTGATTTGCTGCATGTTATTTAAGTGCTTCGATTTTTTTATTATTAGTTCTGACAATATCTTTTTGCTCTTGTATTCTAATAGCAAAATCGCTTCTAATACTAGTATCTGAAGCTATATTGTACAAAGATTCGAATTCAGTAATCCTATTTCTTGCTGTTTTAATTTTTTCATATGAAGCTTTTTGAGCAGCAGCATTAGGACATATTTCATATTCTTTAGAAATGGTAGAAGAAAGCGGGGTAGATACTAAATTACTTGGTTGTGACGAGTTACGACAAGAATTCTTAATGAATCCGATTGCTTGCAATGGAATTGAAGTATTCAAAAGAATTCGTATTTCTTCTTAAATAATGTCATCTCCTTTTTTTTTGATCTCATGCTATTTTTCATTTCTTTCTTCAACTAATTTAGGTTTTGATGGTGATGGATTTGTGGTTAGAACCATTTGATTATAAGCAAATGCATTCATAAAATGTTGATACAAGGTATTTGCATCTGGATATAACAGCTTTTTATTGAATTTTGGCATACTTAAAAACATTTGCATTTCAATAACAAAATTTAGCACTAAAAACTTATACGAAAGGGTTTAATATATAATTTTTTTATTG